GAAACTCGGGTCGAAGATAGACCCCGAGGCCCCCTATCCGACGCCACCTCCCCCGAGTCGATAGCCCACCGGGCGCCGGAGATAGCGCCCCCCGAAGTTGAAATTTCGACCGGCTATAACTCGTCGAGAAGGAGGCCGAGCCCCGCCAATCTTGGGTCGATGATAGACCCCGAGGCCCCCTATCCGACGCCGCCTCCCCCGTGTCGATAGCCCACCGGGCGCCGGAGATAGCGGCCGCGGTCGAGGTCGGAGCTTTCCCCGAGAGAGGGGTGAGAGAGGGGGTGGGTGGAAGTTTGACCCGCGCCCTGATCGGGAACGACGAGGCCTCGGAACTTGAAACTCTGGTCGAAGATAGACCTCGAGGCCCCCTTTCCGACGCCACATCCCCCGAGTCGATAGTCCCCCGGGGGCCGGGGATAGTGCCCCCCCCAAAGTTGAACATTTTGACCGGATATATCTCGCCGAGGCCGGGGCTTAGGTATTTGAAACTCGGGTCGAAGATAGACTTTGAAAATCAGAACAATCTGAAACGTTCATACGTACTTGCAGTATACACTAGGGCCGCTGATATTTATCGGCCAATTTTTTATTATTTTAAAGCCATCGGCTTATCGGAAATAGCATGAAAAGGGCCAATACTGATGGTTCATTAAGTAACTGCATGGAGACAATGAGTTGCATGTCTGTTGCATAATCCAATGTTGTCCTCTGGGCAAAATAATTAAATACTTGCCAAAACAAAATAAAATCTGTACCAAATATAGTTTGTCAGACGGCATAGTACGGCCTATGCGAACGTGACGCTGACGCATCCAACGAGTGAAATGCCCACGCTCAGCTGTACATTCAGCATATGAAAGGCTGTTCATATGTCACGAACCACCAAGCATTAGGCCTATGTTTAAGTGAAAATGAATGGCAGGTTATATGCAGCTTTTCTATGCAATTTTTAGCAACAAATTGACCTTCCCTTAGCAACTTCCCCTGAAAATTAATTGGCAACACTGTTTGAAAGCACAATAATAATAACATTTGTCACGTGGTGCGTGCTACCTCTCTCTGCGTGCAAACACAGTTTCTGTGGTGAGCTGTTGTATGAAGGGTTCGGCTTTCTGAGCCGCTGTGTGTGCGCCCCCTGGAGGAAGAGGCCGGTCATACACAGCAGGCAGCCGCTCACGCTCGACAACAGCACCGCCATGTCCGGCGGCGGGGACGCTGAAGTCTCCCGCGGTATAGAGCTCAGCGAGAAGTAGGGCAACCTGCAACATCGCCGAGACGCACGCACTCAGACTCCAACAACGTAAAACGACATAAATTCAACCCATTCGTGTCCAATGCGTGTCCCCTGCGCCGCTCTCATGTGTTCCGGTCCCGGTCCGGGCTGACATTCAGACGAGTCAGGATTTTGCCTATTTTTCCACTGTTTGCATTTGCTACTTTACATGAGTAACACGCAAAACAGGTAATTGTTAACGTTTATTTGGAGCAGCGCAGCAAGGCTGTTGTTGGTTTGATCTAACTAGATCACTCTCTGTGACTAAATGCATGAGTGCAGTGTGTTTATTGGGTTAATGAAGTGTTTGTTCATGCGTGATATCTCATGCATGGCACTTCAGTTGCTTATATTAATTGAAAGCATTGGTTGCTGGTTAGTCTCGAGTATAACGTACATGGAATTTGTTTATAATTGCATTAAAGCAGTTTTAACTCGTTTTCAGGAAAGTTCAAAAGCCATTTAAACGTGATAAACGTAGCAAACCCTGTAAAATAAACTTGTTTTAGGATGCATGTTTGCATCTGCCACTGTGTATACCTCTAATACTTCACAGCTCTCTCAGGCCCCCAAGAATGAAAAGGTTGAGCAGAGAGTGCGAGGGGCCGGCGGACTCCTGCAAGAGGGCCAGACAGCCCGCCGAGGACCCTGGAGATCTGCTGTCCAACTGGGCTCGACTGCCACAGGAGATCCTGCTTCACATCTTCCAGTACCTGCCTCTCCTCGATCGCGCCTTCGCCTCGCTGGTCTGCCGCGGCTGGAATCAGGCCTTCCACATGCCCGAGCTGTGGAGGTGCTTTGAGTTTGAGCTCAACCAGCCTGCCAGCTCTTACCTGAAGGCCACTCATCCTGACCTAATAAAGCAAATCATCAAGAGGCACTCCAATCATTTACAGTACGTCAGCTTCAAGGTGAGAGGCTCAGCGGGAAGCTGACAGTTACCAGCTGGCTCCACATTACAGCTCTCAAATCATGCCGAACTTAAAGGGACAGCTCACCCAGAAATAAAATTTCTGGCAAAATGTACTGACTCAAATCATGTCGTTTCAAACCTGTATGACTTTCTCTTTTTTAGGGATGCACGATATATCGGCCACCATATCGATATCTGCTCATTTTTTCTGTTATCGGTATCGGCCTGATAAGAAAATTTGGGCGATATCTTAAAGCCGATAAATAATGCATTATTTCCTTCAGAGACACTTCAGATGCGCGCTGTTCGTTTGCAGCCTTTTGTGCAATTGTACGTTGTAATATTGTGTTTATTTGATGTATATCTGATTTATCTCATATAGAATGCGTTTGGTTAAGTTAAAAGAGCGCTTCAGTTTACCGGTGATCGTCTTTAGCTCAGCGCACGCAGCTCAAACAGCAGTGCACAACATTAATAACTATGATTGGGAATGTCGTGTATATAACATTCTAATGAGAACATTATTATAATAAAACGTTGTGAATTCTTTGGGTTTAGTTGCCGTGTTTCAGCGCGTTGTTATGGGAAGAGCGCATCCACAACAGGATCACACATTCTGACTATAGCATGCAATAACTGCGTCATTTTGTACATATATAAGTTGTATTATTATGTTTATGTTGTATTAATATTAATCTCAGGATGCATTTCCTTGAGTTAAATAAGCTGCCAGCAAAACGCTTCAGTTTACCGTGTTCATTCAGCTCTTCAGCTTCAGCACGCGCAGCTCAACGGCTGCTGTTTAAAACAGTGGTATTAATTTGTTACTTTTTCAAAATCATTGATATATTATTAATAACAACAACCACTTGTATTTTTCTCTTATTATTTTCATCAACAATATGGTTTAGTAATTAAAATCATTTTAATTATTGTCCGTGCAGAGGCTATTCTGTTTTATTGATCTGTGGCGCATTCATTTTGATTCTTTACACGTGTAATGATGTCCAGTGACTTGTTTGCATTATTTATGCATTATTTTATTTATTTGTAAGACTTTTTTATGACTAAATTTGGTAATGGGAGAGTAAAAATATTTTTAAAACGTACACCGTTCAAACTAGGCTGCTTATGTTGAAGTGTTTGGGATGTGACTTTTAATGATGAGCCCTTTTTTGTAATCAGGCTCTCAAAAAGTATATAACAATTTGGATATAGATTTATCGGCCAACATATCGGTTATCGGCTTTCAAAAATAAAGAATAACCGGTTATCGGTATCGGCAAAAATTTTCATATCGGTGCATCCCTAAAGTGTACATCAACTAATTAATACATTTTCAAATGAGAGATAAATCTGACATTTTAACTGTTGATTTTTCACCTTGTTACCCACCATTATGTAAAAAAAAAAAACATGGTGTTATTAATACAGTACAACTGTATAAACCATTGTGTTGGCAGATTGATCGTAGTTTGAATGGGTAATGTTTAAAAGATTGTTAACGTTACATGTAAAATAAAAGTACATTTGTAAAACACTGCAGTAGAACTATGGTAACCTACCTTTCTAATCGCTTATGTGTTTAGCCTCTAATTCGTCTGTCTTGTCGGTGGCATTGATAGCATGCTCCTCCGCGTCTTTTAGCGGTTTAAGCCTCTTCCGTCTCATGCTGCTCTTCCCCGAAGGCAGTGTCAGTGTCCCCGGTGCTCGAGTCAGCGTCTCCCCGGGACTCTCAAACTTCACTCCGGTCTCTTAATGGCGCGCAACGCGGTGCCGGAAAGTTAGCAAATTAGCACAATCTTTTCCTCAGGTAAGCGTGTAGTCTAAGTTTTTTGGTGTCTTCGCCATATTAAAAATATACAACATCAATTGCAACACAGAGACACCTCGTAAGAAAATTCCATAAACTTAATTTCAAAATGTTACGAACGTGTGTGAGAGAGAGTATACGATGTCTTTTTTATTATTGAATTGTCAAACTAATGTGAAAAACGTTATAATTACCTGAAAATATTTATTAATCCGTTGACACTCACTCTCTCTCTCTCACTCACTCACTCACTCACTCACTCATTCACTCACACACACACACACACACACTTCCAGGGTCCGAATGGGCCCCCCCTACCCGTCCTGGAGAACCAGGGTTAGACCCTGCATAACCTGCTCTGCCCGACTCGCCCTCGCTCCTCTCCGGCCGCCTCTCATCCACCCAGGAACCCCTCCCGTGCACCAGCCAAACTCGTGCATCCCACACTTAAGCCCGGGTTACTAACCCGGCAAACCGCCCCCTCCGGAGAACCAAGCCACTGGTCAACCCGCCGGGGATTGATCACTGGTCACCCCCTCATCGACTTAGGTTCTGGCCGCCTTTCCCTCGGACTTCCGGCAGGGGGGAGTCTGGAGTCACCAAGGCCCTACCCGCCTTCAACTCTCCCCTTGCTGGTGGGGCCGCCACTGGTCACCCCCTCATCGACTTAGGTTGTGGGCCGCTCGTCCGTCCGGCCACTGGTATCCCCGGGACAGCGGCGGGGGTCGAACCGAGGCTGCCCGGGTGGGCCTCCTCCTCGGTCGACAAAATCTTGGATCGAGGGATGACTTTCAATGGATCGCAGCAGTCGGCTTTACCCACCTGCCTCATAGGTTTTCAGGTTGGAGACCTCCCACCCCGCCAGAGGCTCCCCTTCATGGTAAACATACCACCCAGACCAGCTCGGGTGCCCCCCAAGTCACTTGGGATAGCCACACTGGCTCATTCAGCTCGAATCCTCACGGATTTCCAAAAACCGGTCTATCCGGTGATTGGCTTCGTATAGGAAGCTGTAACAGGCTCGAGGCGAGCGAGGGACTGGAGGGCCGCCTTTATACCCAGACCCACAGTCCCAAGTTCACTTCCAACCGACAACCCTGCCCATCACTTTCCTATACATATCAGAGACTAGTCATATATACTCCCGCCGTTTACCCATGCACCCTCTATGGCAGCTTGTTTGACCGGGGCGGCCTGCCATCCGGGATGAATTTCGTTTATTTTGTACACTCATATTTTTGTTTGTGAAGGTTGCCCCACCTCCGAGGGTTCCAAGTCCGATACAGTGTAATCTGTCCGTGTCCACTAGAGTGGATCGGGTTTAACCGTCAAACCCGATTTAGTTTGGTCTTCGCCCTTTGACTGCATATGCCTGTCTCATGATCTCCTAACCCAAAGAGATCGCAAGTCGGTAACATTTCCGAGTCGGAAATGGGTAATTTGCACGCCTGCTGCCTTCCTTGGATGTGGTAGCCATTTCTCAGGCTCCCTTTCCGGAATCGAACCCTGATTCCCCGTTACCCGTGGTCACCATGGTAGGCGCCGCAAAGGGCGCGCGATCGGCCCGAGGTTATCTAGAGTCACCAAAGGGACCGGGGCGGGGACGAATCCCCGACCCCGGATGGGTTTTGGATCTGATAAATGCACGCGTCCC